TATTATCATTAATGTTACTTTTACTATCATTATTATTATCATTATTATCACCATCGTCAAAATTATTATCATTATTATCACCATCGTCAAAATTATTATCATTATTACCATCATTATCATTATCATTGTCATTGCTCACATCATTATCATTATCATCATCATTGTAAGCGTAAGTGACCACCGCTGCCATCAGATGTAAGCGTAAGTGACCACCGAAAGCCACTAGATGTAAGCGTAACAGAGATGGTCTTAGGGCGGTTAATGAAAGGGGTCTCAACTTGCTGGTTTATTTCTGAAGATAGATATGAGACCCCCGAGAGACCCCCGTGTCCCCGGGTGGAGGACGAGGTGGTGGAGTTGGACCCTTGTGTCTTGGCCTGTCTGCCGTGTCCCTGTCTCTCTCGTCGTCTTAGGCACGTGCCCTTTTATGCGGTGGTTTCCTTGGAGGGCGGATGTTTATTCCTGTGTGCAAAGAGAAAGGAGGGCAGCACCTGCATCCTGCGCAAGGAGAAAGGCATTTGCTTGGACCGAGGTGTGAATCTGCCATCTGGTCTTGCTACGTATTGTTCACAATCATAGCTAACACCATTATCATTATCATCATCATCATCATCATCATCATCATCATCATCATCATCATTATTAATATCATCACTCCCTCCCTCTCTCCCCCCATACACACACTAACACAAACATACACTAACACACACACACACACACACACACACACAATAATTAACACATTAACAATTAACACAATTCCAATCAACACAAATAACGCAATTCATTACAATTAACAATTAACTACAATTAACTACAATTCCACATGAACACACCCACACTAACTACACTAAATCGGGCTTAAAGAGGCACTTCGCTAAAAGACCATTTGAGAAATCGTTAACCATCCGTCTAATGGACCACGAATAAGAATAAAAGAGGCAGAGGATGATAAAAAAGGAAAACAAAAAGAAGAAATATAAATGATAGTGTGAATTAATTAACTTTTTATGTGATGGAATATGTTATGTGGAGTGCGCTCGTATAACTTCCTCTGTTTTTTAATATTTCTGTTATTATCATTATTGTTATTATCATTAATAGTACTATTATCACTACTAATATTATTATCATTTTATTATTAGCATTTTTATTATCATTATCATCATTACATTTCTATTATTTTCATTACAGCGTTATTACTATCTTTTTATTATTGTTGTTTCATTATCATCTTTATTATCATGGAGAGCATAGACCTACATTAATATTTTTTATTGGTATTATTTTTCTCATTATCACTACAATCATCAATATCATTATTAGTATTACCATTACTATCATTTATATTACTACTATTATTGTTATCATAATATCAACAATAGCATTATAAGTATTTACTTATTATCATAATTATCATTATCATTATCATTATCATTATCATTATTATTATTATTATTATTATTATTATTATTATTATTATTATTATTATTATTATTATTATCATAATCATTATTATCATTAATATTATTATTATTGTTATTGTTGTTGTTGTAGTTGTTAATATTATTATTTCTATCTCCATCATCATTATGTTACTATTATTACTATTATTATTATCACTATTATTATATTACTATTATTATTATTACTATTATTATCATTACTATTATTGTTATTACTATTATTATTATTACTATTATTTTCATTACTATTATTATCATTACTATTATTATTATTACTATTATCATTATTACTATTATTGTTATTACACACACACTATTTTTATTATTACTAATATTATAATTACTATTATCATTCTTACTATTATTATTATTACTATTATTATTATTATTATCATTACTATTAATATTATTATTATTATTATTATTACCATTATTATTATTACTATTACTAATTATTATTATTATTATTATATTATTATTATTATTACTACTACTGTTATTATTACTATTTTTATTACTATCATTATCATTATCATTATCATTATCATTTATTATTATTATTATTATCATTATTATTATCATCATTATTATTATTATTATTATTATTACTATTATTATTATTATTATTGCGATTAATATCATTGTTATTGTTATTATCATGATTCTCATCATTATCGAAATTATATTCTACAGCAGCAGCAACAGTAGTAATACCATTATTAGAAGGAAAGGAAAGCGAAAGGTAGTTATGGA